TATATATATATATATATATATATATATATATATATATACCTGGATATTTGTGAGTGAAGGTATCCCAAACGCTTGGTCCTCTACCACCCTCATTGGCTGCACCTTCGTACTGCATACATACATAATCATGTGAACCGAAAACCATAATATAAAGCTGATAGAAAGAACTAAAACATTTGAACTTGTAACATGGAAGGTGTTTCATATGGGGTTGAACATTCATAAAACATAATCATTTTGTTGTATTAGTATACCTGGTACGCTGAGGATGCTGTACCAAAGATGAAGCCTTTTGGGAAACTGTTTCGATTCAACAAATCTATTTGTGGAGTAAGGGCTAAGCTTTCTGTGACAGTAATCAATGAAGAAAGTAGAGCAATGAGAGGTAGCACTACGTATTCTTTGTATGCCATTTTTTCTTAATTGTATTTAATTTTTCCCACCAAATGCGTTCCTTTTATAGAGGAAAACCTTTATCTACTCTCATATTCTTTCCAAAAATATCTAAATATATCTTGCTATTTCTATCCTAAAAGAAAATTAAATCAGAAAGCGATGTTTTTTTGGTCAGAAAAGATTACCAACTTGGGCAAGGATTTTGATAAACTTTACTATCACACGTAAACTAACATGATAATCGTAAGTATGCTGAGAAACACGTATATGAATATCATCAGTTAGTAAAGAATAATATAATAATATGAAACGTTGTACTCTTCACTCTTTTTGCATAGTAATATTGCATGTAGTATCCGTAATAAAACGTTCTGTTTGAGTTAAATATTCACTCAAGTTTGTTTAAACTATATAAATAAGGATTTATCTGACAGTGAAGTATTTTATTTTTCTAAAATTTAATTGGGATCATATATTTAGATTAAACTCAAAACCGTTGTTTCAGTTAATTATACCAAATTAGGTAAATATAGCATTATCTTCTAAGAAATTTTGAAAGCTATAAATGAAAGTTGAAAGGAACAAAGTCTCACGGTCAACAAATTCGTCTTACGTAAAACTTCAGTTGTTTGCTGTAAACCTGCTATTTGTTGCAACTGTTAAGATTCTGGTTCTCGCCCTCTAAAGCTAGACTTTTATTTTCATTTAGAAACTACTAAACTATAATAATATCGAATTCAATATATTTTAAGGTGTATTGATACCACACGTATCTTATTAATTTTATAAATAAAAAAATTCCACTAGTAATTCATTTTAATAAATAACATTTTTTAATAACAAATATTTAAACTCATTATTTCTAATAATATTTTCTTGTACTTAATAATTTTATTTGATTATTATATAAGGTGAATAAAATTCACACGCACTAATATCATTTTTTTCATAATAAAATTTAATTTTATTACTGATTATAATGAATGAATTTCAAATCTTTTATTATAAAACAATCACTCAACGTATAAAAACTAATTTTTTTGGAAAACAATTAGAAATATTAAGATAATTCAAAAATTCTTCTACAAATAAGTAAACGTATTAATCATGGTTAAGAGGTGAACTTTAAGTCTAATAATCTTACAAAATTCACTTATAAAGTGAGATTTATATCTACTTTACATTGTGAATTGACCTTATCTTCAATCGATATGAGACACTTCCAATACACTCCCTCGTGTTAAGGCATATAGATTTCGTTAGGCTAGACATTGATTTCACTATAGTACACAAAAGTGAATTTTATGTATAAGTCAATTTCACAACATTGTCTTGTGTGGTTTGCTGCAACTTAAATAGTATAAATCGGTCTTATTTCTAGTCGACGTGAGACTTTTAACACAATCTCCTTACGTTCAGATACATACATCTCAAGCGTGGGACTAGACATTAATAAGTGGATCAACAATGGTTCATAGCAGGTGAAACAATAGATCCAATAAATAATAAATTTCA